AGGGCAGGTTCCGTCCAGATCGCCACCTGGCTTCGAGGGCAAGCACCGAGGGCAGCCTGGCGCCGACTCTCCCCGTCCTTCCGGGGCCTGAAGTCACTGGCTGCTCCCTCCCCACCCCCCTGTACGTGAGATAGATAGCTTGTGAGAGATAACTCTTACCTGAGCACTTTGCTGGCCGAGGGGGTGTCTCCATCTGAGCCTGGTAGCCTCCTGTTGAGGTTTTTTTTTGCATTTTTTGTTTTCTCTGCTGGGCAGTGATTTAAGGGGCGGCCCCAGGAATGGCCCAATGGACGAAGCGATCCTCGAGTGGCCAGACTTTCTATTTCTGAGGCACTTTAACTCAAGGACTTCCCAGGAATAAAGCTTAAGCCTTGACTAAACACATAAGAAAGGGGAACAATTTCTTTCCATCCCTGAGGCTGAACAAGGCAACAAGGTGTTCGTGTGGTGAAAGCAGTGGATAAGTCTAAGGGGCCCGGAAAAACGCAAGCTGCTCATTAAAAGAAGACTAAAAAAATGCAAATTTAAGAACTAATTGTTAAAGCTTTATCTTGACCAGATTTCTTGGTATTTACTAGGGCCTGGTAACATGTGTTAGCCTCATTCTATGGCTAAACTGTTTATTATTGATGTTGGTGATGATAGCCTTGGGCAACTCAAAAATGATCATTTTTGCCAGTAGTCTACAACCCTCAAACCGTTATAAAACTAGTGTAATATGTGTTTTATTTGATGAGAAGCATTACTACGGTTGTAGAACCTAGGCTACTTCTCAGTTGAAAGAGGGGGCTGTTATAAGTAGTCCTTGGGCCAGTCCAGGAGATGGTCTAAGAGTGTTTTCATTGAAAACTAGTCATCACCCTGAGGTTATTTTACTGATATAGGCCTTTAACTCTACAGTTTCATAAAATGGGTAGTTACAAACATTTTTAATTGTCAAGAAATTTCTAAATCTTTCTTGTTATTAATGTTCTCTGTAATCCCCCCCCCCTTTTTTTTTTGGACACAGTACAACAGCCCTGGATCTGGCTTTGTGAACCAGCCTGGCCTCAGACTCACAGATCTGCTTGCCTTTGCCTCCTGAGTGCTGGGATTAAAGACTTTTGCCACCATGCCTGGCTAGAATCCCTGTATAAACTTTATTCATCTGTTGCCCACGTGGTTCTGACAAAAGTGCCATATTCGTTTAAACCCAAACAAAAGGCAAACACTTGAAGCCTCACACATTCAGTGGTATTAAACATATCTGAAACACTTCTGTTTTCCCTCACTCACTTTTCGCCCACATGGTAGCTCCCTTTGTGCTTTTCAAAACTTGCCCGTGTCGAGATAGCTTAGTGGTTGAGAGCACATGCTGTTCTTACAGAAGACTGGGGTTGAATTCTCATCACCCACATGTCTGCTAACAACCCTCTGTAACTCTAGTTCCGGGTGATTCCATGTCCTGTCCTGACCACCTCAGGCATCAGGTACATACATCGTGCATAGACATACATGCAGAGACATAAAATCTTGCCTTTTTAAAAAATTTTTATTTTTAATTTTAAGCTCTATCTGTGTACTTCAGAACCACTCCCAGTTCCTAAAGTCGACAAATAAAAGTGCCGGAGAGACGGCTCAGCCGTCAAGACCATGTGCTGCTCTTACAGAGGATCCAAGTTTGATTCCCAGGACCCACATTTGGACCAGTAACTCCAGCTCCAGGGGATCAGACACCTCTGGTCTCTGATAGCAATATATATAGTTTAAATGAAATTGTTCTGGCCAAATGAGACCATCCTCCGCAGGAAGTGTGCAAGGGGGATTGCTCTGGAGTGGATATTTGTGTTGCCACCACCAACTGTTACTTAGAATAACTCAGCAATGTAAGGATGGTATTTGGAGGCGAGGTCTTCAGTATGTGACTGGATTTTGAGCATAGCCTTCCTAGGAATGGTATGTGTGCCCTCTTAGAAGGGGCAGTGGAGAGATGATTGCTTTTTCTTCTTTGCTAGAGGACGCTAGCCGAAGACAGAGAGCAAACCAGGAAGTGAACCCTCACCAGACACGGGGATCTTGATGTCCCACCCTCCAGAACTGTGAGAAAATAATCTCTATTTTTTTAATCCGCTCAGCCTTTGGTTTTATGTTATAGCTGCGTGAACTAAGAAGGAAACATGGCTGGTGTGAACAATTACATGCTAATGTTTCTCTTTCACAGCCAACACAAAATGTTCACTAAAATGGTTGTTAGTTACTACCGTGTGTTTCAGTGCAAGTGGTTTCTTTTTTCAAATGAACCACCCTGATAGGACTGAGGCTAAATAATCACATACATCCTTTGGTTTGTGTGTGATTTTTGAAAGCTGTATGTGATTTCTGAATAAGAAATCATGGTTAAGCAAATCTGTGAATAACTTTTCAAAATCTCATTTTCACTAAGTAACAGTAGTGCTTTAACTTCTGGTTATGTTTTGTTTAAACGAGACAACCTTTTGTTTCTTTGAGCCCAGGGAAGTTCTGCATTGATACCAGAACAGTCTTGAGGCTGGAGAGATGGCCCAGAGGTTAAGAGCTTGTAACTGCTCTTCCACAGGCCCCGGGTTCAATTCCTAACACACGTGGGACAGCTCACAAGCTCTGTCACTCCAGTTCCAGGGGTTAAGATGCCCTCTTTGGTCCCCAGGAGCATTGCACACACATAGTGCATTGCACACACATAGCACAACACACTCATCCTATACATAAAAAAGTTAAATTTCAAAAAGAGTTACATCTGTTTCGGGTGCAGTCTCCTCAATCTGCATGTTTAGTTTGAATCTGAATATGCATCCATCTCTTTTATATTGAAAATAGAGTTTTCTGCTGTATTATGTAGCACCAACATAGCCCTAGGGAATCACTGGAGATTAAATAAGGGTATCTAAGAATTTTTAAGTCTAAAAATAATATGTTTGTGGCAGCCAGTGTTCCATCATTGTGATGAAATACCCAAGAAAATTAACTTCCAAGGAGAAAAGCTTCATTTTGGTTCAAAGTCTCAGAGCTGCTTGTCCAAGACCAGGTGACTCCACTGCTCTAGCCCCCTGAAAAGTGTGCTAAATAGCAACTTCCCAAGCAGACTGCTCACCTCATGGCTGGGAAGCAAAAGAAGAAGCCAGGGTCCCACAATCACAGTTAGGGACATGACTGCGATGTCCCAAGGTCTTCCCTCTAGGTCCCACATAGGACATGACATTAGTTCATATATTTCTGGGGAGGCTGAACATCCAAACTATAGCATTGCCTCATCAAGATTTTCTAGGATTTAACCATTTCCCTAAATTAAACTAAATCTGCTTCCTTTGCTCTTGGATTTTCTAAATATTAATAAATTGGTAATTTAAAAAAATACAAGCATAAAGAAAAATTATAATCCTTATTTTCTCCATTTATTATGCAGCAAAGCTGACTTCCAT